CATTTTTGAGCCAACCACCTTAACGCGTCTTAGGGCCGTAGTGCGGTAGTGACACTTTTCCGGACATGGGTCCCTATACTCAAATGTTTTCTACTGTTGCACTGAATAACCCCTAGAAGTTTGATCCCATAGTTCTGAAACACCCTGTATATATATTCATGTCTCAAGTGAGACAAATATATGCTACACAAATTTCAAGTAAAACTGCTATGTTAAAACTTTTAAAGCGATGAATTACGGCGCAACACACTGTAAAGCGGAAAGACGATTGTAATGGCGTGACGAAATGAAACCGGACGAGGCGTTAATACACAGACGAGATTGTCAGAGATACGCGGAACGCATATTTTCGCGCGCGCGAGCGAGCGAGCGAGGCGCCATCAAACTTGCCGGCATTGTTTCCGAGCAGACGTGTCTGCTTGAAGAAGTCTCACGTTATTTTTAGAGTAGACGTAATATGTTCTTTCGGTACGCACAATCGGCTTCATACACGTGTATTTTCCACGAGTATCGCGTAATAGTTTTTTTTTTAGTAATTTTGTACGCGCTTAGCGCGAACACAAAAATTATGTTACTAAGTATAATTGATGCGATAATTCAGAAATACAAACTACCTAACTCCCTTTATATAAGCCGTTTATATTAGCAGAGACCTACGCAAGATGCCATCTCTATCCGTGTAGATAGAGATCGTAACCGAATTGTGCGCGAGAGATTGAGACTTGATCGATTGTAATCCACCGTCAACCACGAGCAATGACGTAACCGGCTTTATCCTCATTGGCCCACTCCGAGTTCTCCAATGCGCAATCACGGCGCAATCTCCGATGTGCATCGGGATCCCAATACAAGCTTTAGACGATCTTGCGGTTAACATGGTAACGGGAGAGCGATCGTTGCGCGCCGGCTGTGAAACTATACTTTTTGGTTCCGGCGCGACTTCGGTCTTTGCGGGGAAATAAACTTTCCCGCCGGTCGGCGTTTAAGTTATTACGTGATCACGAGACTGATGGGAGAAGTTTCGTTCTCCCGCGTGCGGGAAGGTGAGAGAGAGTGAAAGAGAGAGAGAGAGACAGAGAGAAAGAGAGAGGAGGGAGGAGGAACAGAGAGAAAAAGAGAAGGAGAGAGAGAGAGAGAGAGAGATCGTCGGTACTTTTTATTCCGAGTTAATCTCGACCGCATAAAGTTTATTTGCAGTTTACTGCGGCGCTTTGCGTTCCGGATCGGTTGCGTGTGCTTGCGGTTTGCACAAGTTCGCGTGTGCGAAAGCACAAAAACAGAGTCTTGTTACAATACAAATTCCTAAATCGAGCCTTTAAGAAGAACATGACTTTTGGACGTATATTTCACAAACTTTATCAAGATCAAGTATATTTGACATTATCAATACAATTTTATTTTGTTTTTACATGAGCATTCAGGAAGATGTTGATGCAACTTGTACTCGCTCGCATTAGAAAATTTATGAATGAAACTTTTTCAATAATTCATTATTAAACCATATATCCTTCGGTGACGTATAATTGATTCAAGAGAAAAGTACCATTCACGATTGGGCCGCCTCTGCCAATTATTCATGCTCGTGTTCGCCGAGCGATACGCGTGATTAATGATAAAGAAATACACTCAACGTTGGACCACCTCGATTTCTCGCCGGTCTTACGCTCTCACGAGCCTTTGATAGCGAAGGGCTACTGTAGCGAGGAAAAAATGGGATCGAAGGTATATATATATATATATATATATATATATATATAAGCACGCGTCGTGTACACCCGCGTTATCGTGAAAGTTTATAATGAAAAATAACTTTCGAGATGGAGC